TTCTGAACCCCTGAACCCTGTTTACACTCCTATGTCACGGACCAGAATTAATTACTCGACACCATCCTTTCATTATTGATGTAAGGTCTTTTCAAATAAGACGTGACATGTGAAGTGATCGAAACGGTGGTCCGATCTGAACTATTTGCAATAGCGTTCGTGGTTGAGGCAGAATACGTCAGTGTAGCAAATTTTATCGAAATATGTAAAAAATTGTGGCCTGTAGTGTGGGAACACAAGAAAGTAAGGCGGCCAGACGGACAGACAAACTTAAATCAATTCAGAAAGTGATTTCGAATCGATCGGTAAAATAGAAAAAGATAAGTCGGTCTCTAGTCATTCTGGGTGTTTTATATATCCGCTCAATCTTATTATATCTTTATACCACATGCACTGCAGTTGGAATATAAAACCAATACGGAATATTTCATTTAGTTTCAAAAATTAGATGTGATTGCAAAACTCCTCTTTAATTGTTGTTGTGCAACATTTCCAAAAGTATGAACGACGTGTATTAAACTCTTATTTGGGAAATAGCTCAGATGGCCCTATAATTAATGCGCCATCTTTCAATTAATAAAATGTAGTTTAATAGAGAACACTGAAATATTACAAAAAATAAACAAAAAAAAACTTAAATTAACAAACAACTTAGCATTCTTGAGTATCATTACCGTTAATAGCACTATTAAAAGTGAACAAACAAAACGCAAATTCAAAAGTTTTTCTTCTGGCTTTAAAAAGAAAAAAACTGTTAAACACAAAACAAAAAAATCATTAAAATTAAAATAGCAGCATATGAGATATAGAAGAGAAACCGTAAACGTAAAACCCAAGCTGACGAAATAAATAAATATAGAGAAGAAAAAAAAAATGAAAAGAAAATAACGAAAACAAGAAAAACTACTGTGAAAAATAAAATGTGTGTGTGTGTGTGTGTGTGGGGGGCGGGGGGGGGGCTCGCTTCAAAAGCCAGAGCGCACAGGTGCCAAGCTTGGCAGACGTACAAGTTTAAACATCTGTTGTTGTTGCTGCTATTATTACTGTTGTAGTTTATAACACCGTTACCTTTGAGCGTCACTTGTAGTAATTTATGGAAATTTTTGAAAATTCCATTCACTCACAGCGTAGTAAAAAAGAAACAATTGCACGCCGTTATTAAAACTGGTGCTGTCGCTGTTGCCGCTTTTACTACTGCTCTTGCTGCCTTTGTTACCTTTGCTTCAGCCGCTGTTGCTTATGGTATTTGTCAGTTATGTTTTTGTAAATTTTCTATAGCCTCTGCGTACAATTGTTTGTATTGTTTTATTATATTTGCTTTGTTATATTAAGCAAAATTATTTGTCTGTTTGTTTAGTTGCTATTAAATTCGTTTTGGACATTTAATTCATGGCTGTTGGTTACCAGCGAAAAATTGCTAATTAATTGACCTTTTTTTTTATTATTTTATTTAATAACATTCGATTTTTAATTCAAATTCTTAGTTCATTATTTCATTGTCAATAGTTCTACCCATTTTTTTTCTTTTCTTTTTTCTATCTCTCTATCTCTCTCTCTCTCTCTCTCTCCATCTCGCTCTGGCTCTGCTTTATAGACTATAAAAATTCGAAAACCGAATACAGTTTGTTAGTTCGAAACCTTAAAATTACAAAAAAAAAAAACAAAAAACAAAAAAAAGGAACTCTATTAGGTTGCTAATTGTCTAATTAAATATGCACTTTAGAAATGTCATTTTTATTTACAAAATTCATAATTTAATATTAATATTTTATTCACTTTCAAATTTCTAGACTTTCTTAAACTTTGTTGACTGGCAAACCAATTTGGGTTGGGCTTCGGTTAATATGCGCTTACGAAAGCTAATGGACTTACTTGCACTATTTTTCTATTATTTGAATTTCTGTGACGCTTTTTTATAGTATTACTGCACAAATTTAAAATTTCCTTTATGAGAGCTCTTAACTATTCGTTGTCATCTATTATTTCTTCTTCACATGCATTTTTACATGTATTTTGATTTAATGAATTTATGCCTTATGGGATCTCATTGTCAAGACTGTTGCAACGCCCAAAGGCAAGCTTCAGAAACTGCACAGAGCATCAGCATCAAGTCGATTTAAGCATGTGTATCTGCCTATCTATCCGTCTGCGTAATGTTTGTTTTAAACATTCTCTTGGACGGAAAAATAACCTTATTGTCTTCAAAATTTGGAAGTGGTCTAAACCTTTGAAATAACCCTACAATGCTCACACGTCTACACCGCAGGATTAGATAGATATGTAATTTTAAATTTTTACAACACATTTTAACTGTCAAGCAACAAACTGTCATTGTAAGTACAACCTGTGAAGCGTTTAGAAACATTCACTGTATTTTTCGCAATACAGATTAAAAATGAATGAACAAGATCATGACTTAAAAACAAGAACGAATTATTTTGAGCAATGAGATTTATATTCATCTTACTGAACATATAAGTAAATAAAATTGTTGAGCGCAAGACACTTCGAAGGCTTAAAAGAATTTAGCCGGACAACCTTTTTAACCACGATGAGTGTCAATTTCATGTGGGTTTTGAAAGATTCCGTAACACCCCGATGAATCGAACAATTGCACGGCAAATCCGTTGTGAAAAACATTTAATGAAAACTACCACGCAAACCTGTTTTTCTTTTTTATTTGAAACAAAATAATTTCTAAAATTTTGGTATTAGACATAAACTAAAGGGAAAGTATTTAATAGATAGGAAAAACCAAACTGAAACTTTTAACGTAGAAGCCCAACTCTGGTAGAGTTTATTAGAGGTTCGTAGCAGTTATAGTGAGCATTCAATTGTGAACAGCATAACACTTACCACCTGGGCGCAGATTCACTAAGTTACGCATACCACCTGCCTATGGCTTTGTCCTCTCCTCACTTCTTTTTCACCGCCACCATGTTACGCATACAGGGGACATGTTCTGAATTTTGATCATATTAAAAACCCCCGAAAAAAAAGAAACCATAAATCGTTTAAAAATGTGATCAACTACGCATGAAAAGGTGAAGCATAATTCTTTGCAATGAAAAAACGAACACTACAAGGAAAGAAGAAAAATTTTAGAATAATCTTTGATAGACATTATCAGCGTGGCTTGCAATTGCCTCTATAATAATTTTAACTATTAAGGTATTCAGAAAGTTGTTTTATCTTTGTTTTCCAACAGAAGACTTATTTATATTTTTTCATAGCTAAGATCACACATATGCTCTCGACTGTCCATGATCACGTGAAAGCGAATCAATTTTTATTTTGGCCCAAAAAAAAAAAACAAACGAAAGGAGTATGTATACTTTCGGCGACAATATGCGTTTATCATTAAATTATTGCAGACGTAAACAAAATATTTTAATTATTAGTATAGGAATTTTTATGTTATTTATGAATGAAATGCAGCAAATTAATTGCGATTTTTGTTGTGATACAAAACAACCTTGCGTTTGATGCAATCAATCAGAAGTTTGTAGATATTTTCCAAAAATGCGGCATATATCTAAAAAAAGATCAAATGCATCTTTAAAAATGGGTAGCTTACATAACAACAGATGAGAAGTAATTTGCTCTCCACTTAGATAAAACACTTCCTTATAGTAAACTCGAAAATAGAAAATAAGTAACGCATTGAACTTGATCATCTATCAGATTCAAATATCACTTAACTGTCAAAAGTAATGTCAAGTCTTTTCTTTCACACATGATTTATTGTCTATGGTTATCAATGTGGCTTCGGAAACGCACACTCTAAAGTTTTGTATAAAATGATGTGGAATTTTTGTGTAGATAATTGGTAACAATATGTATTTAAGAGTTACGTTAAGTGAATTTTTACTCAAAGTTGTTTAATTTGCGAAAAATAGATCTTTTTCTATTGATTTTGAACCCGATTTAATTTCTTATTAGAACTATAAGCTCGCAAGCAGAATAAAATAATGAGTAAAATAGAACCCTTTGCTCTTCTTGAATTATTTTAAGCCATAAAAGTTAAGCCAACTCCAACATGAGAAACTAGGTTACTAAAACTGAGTTGAATTCGATGTTTAGTTAGTTTGTTTGAGAGTATAAATCTATCCAATGTGTGTGTGTCTATTCTAAATATAAATGTTCCTGTTTGGTTCGAGTACAATGCCTTGGATGTATACACATTTAAATGAATCTAACGTTGCTCTCATCAATTTTGTGCATTTATAAATATTTTGCCACATGCTAAGTGTACACTAATGTTAGTTGTATTTGTCTAACAAAGTAAATGTTTATCTACTTACTTATGTATGTTAGAACACGTCCTCATTTCCGGCTCATCAGCGTCGTGATGAATACATATTTATTTTATCTATTAATGCTTGCATTGTTGTAAATATTTTATCTATAACGCTTTCATTTATGTTATTGTGTATCATTTACAGGTCAATAAAAAAAAAAAAAGAGAAGAGAGGAAAACTATAATGGCTTGAGACGAATCCTTTCGCATCCATGGCGTGTAATGAAAAAATAATGAATAATAGTTTTTATAAAAGTCGGTCGAGTTGACACCTTCCCATAATGTCCTCAACTTACATCTAAAAAAATACAGGCTATCGTCTACAATAATACCTTGACACGCATGGAATTACCGTTAGTTTGCCGCGATCATTTCTCCATCAAGATTTGATTCATTTTAGTCACCATTCCACTTCATTTAATAATTTTAATTTTTTAATTACTATGCTATATAAGCTATATTTATAAAAATAGAGAGAGATAATTTTCTTAACGCAATAGTTAAGCGAGTCAACTTGAAATCTTTTCATATTCAAGAATATAAATACTTAATGTTGCAAAAGGTATATGCTATGATGAGTATTGTCCCGTTCACCGGTAGTCGTTGCAAAAAAAAAAAAAAAAAGAAGGAAAAGAAAAAAATTTGCAAAATATCTTAGTCATGTAAATAATTTTCCCTAATTTTTCTTCATAACTTTCAGTGTTGGGAAGAATGCATTAAATCGCCGCCGGCTAAAATGAGCAAATCAATACGTGAGACATGGTCATTACACACGGTTTCAATGTTGCAACAAGACTCCTTAGTGCTTGTAGACGTTGCTTGGGAACCGCTCAGTTTACCAAATCAATGTCTTGTGACATGGGAAGTATCTGGCGGAGGCTTAATGGGAAATCTACTTACAGAATCTTTTAATGTTCAATTGTCATTGTGGCCAGATACCAACTACCGAGTGCAAGTTACTTGCAAAAATAAGGTAAGAGAAGACAAATTGCAACGTAATCTGAATGAATGTAATATTTTACCTAATATGTCCGAAAACTTGTTGCGGTTTTTTACTATGAAATAAAATAAGTTTTTTTATATAAGGAATAAATTTGTTTTTTTGAATGAATTACATTTTTATGCAATCTCTCTTATCAATCGATCAGATTTAATCATAACCTTTAATTGGTTGCTAAGCAATGGTATTCCGCCTACAAGAACGCGGTAAAGCTTTCACTGCAAAAATTTCAGAACGAAATTTCGTGAACGGATTTCGGCAAATGCGTTCTGGTACAGCACACATATCTCTATTTGCTTCTGCATCTCTTTTATGTTTTTTAAAATAAAATAGAAAAACATATCTTATATGCTCACTTCGATCTTCCACGTCCTAGTTATATACGTCCCACAACTAAAACACAACTGATCGCTTTGGAAATTTTTTACAAACTAAACATAAGCCTGCTATACATAACTATATATACCCGTATCCCTAATTATCCGTCTAGCTTTGTGAAAATAGTTGCTTTAACCTGGTGTCGGGGAAAACCGCAAAAAATATGCGGATTACCTGATATTTTCGCTTAATGTTTGATATAAATTGTTGTAAATATATTTAATTTATTTATTGTAATGTATTAAGATATTAGTTAATTATTATTTATTTATTTATTTATTTGTTTTTTTTTTTTTTTTTGGTAATTCCATTTCAGCTCACTGGTTTAATGTCACGTTCACTACCTCTAACAATCGACACATCTGACGCTGTAAAGTCATTGGATACAAATCTATTGCAAATACGTCCTACATTGAGGAAACAAGTAATCAATCCCTACATAACTAATAAACCGATAATAAGATCGACAGCATCTCAGGCACCGATCGAACCGGTGACTAAAAAGCAAATGTCAAATTCATTTGATTCTAACGTTGTGCCATACGAAGATCAATCAGCTGAACATACAAATTTCATATTTAATTGGCATATGCGTAAAAACAGTGACATCAGTTCTATCGAACCGTTGAATAAGCCCGATCTAAATATGTTAACAATTGCCGCCTTATCTGATATGCAAAAACCTTTGGTCTTCGGTATGGTAGCGGGTACAATATTGTTAACATTCATCCTGTTACTCTATGTTTGCATGATGCGGCAACAGCGTTTAACTAGTGATAAAACATCGCTAATGGGTGATGAAGTGCATGCTCAAGTAATGTCAATGCCTCCAGTGTTACCAGCTACAACGGTTGCAGCAGCAACTGGAACGACAGTGCTACGTAACAGTGAGGATATATGCAAAAATCCTGCCTCTTGCTCAAGATATGCACTTAAAGTGTAAAGCGTAAAGTAACTGAGACGAAAAGCGGCAGCCGGCATGTAAACGAGTGAGTAATAATACAAAATAATAACAATGAAAAACAAGCTAAAGGGAAGTGCAAATCTTTGAAGTTAAATAGAAAAAAAAAAAGAAAAAAAAATACAACAAAACTACTAACACCACAATGTATAGCAAAGAAAAAATAAAGTGAGAAATAAAAATCGAAAACTATAAAGTATAATACGATTAAAAATCACTATGAAACCAAATTAATATTAAACGAATTAATATAAAATTTATTTTGAAATTAATTACTTACTATTAAAGACAAACAAAAACAAAGGCAACTACAAAAGTTTAAACTACAAAAAACAAAAAAAAATATTTTTCTGTGAACTATAAAACTAAATAAGATGAATAAACATAAACAAAGAAAAGTAAAAACAAAAAGAACTTTAGATTTAATTTTCTATACTCTCAAATCCCACAGTCCTACTATTACTAATACAATTTGTTTGTTTCATTTTTTACAATTATTATCATTAAAGTACAATAATAATTAGAATACATTTACATAAGACATATAGGAAGGATATGGCGCCACAAACGTTTTTGAGTTAAACGATTAGAGTTAACTCTCTAATGTACCTTGCTAAGAAGTTACCATAACGAAGTGAACACAAAAACCGACAGTCAGTGAAATCAAGCGAACATTTCATGATTAACGTAGTTGATTTTTAATGTTATAGGCTTGGTAAAGGGCGGGCAATAAAGCTTTTCCAAATTTTTTAAAGGTCTTTCAACAGTTTTTAAGACAAGTCAAGTCGAATGTGATACAAAAAAAAAAAATTCTCAAGATGGACCGGTATAACAGTGGATTGGCTTTTCTGAATTATTATGATGTGTATAAGTACATATTGTAGACGACATGAGAAATATGCAATGAAAGCGATCGGAAAAAAATCTTAATTCTTCTTAACAACAAAAAGAAGATTCTTGAATATTGGCAAAACGTTCAGCGAATGCCAGCAATTGCCTGTGAAATACATATGAAAGGATAGAAGGAAATGTGAACTTTGTTCACACAAGCAGACAGTCCTTGTTTTGACAATTCGTAAAACATTTCCGCGTATTTTCACCATTTTCATCGCGATTGCTTTCTTAAAAATTCTCCTGTGGTATTTAGCTTCACAATGATTTCGTTGCAACTTACGTTTTTTTACGGATATGCATTATATAGTTCAAAATGCGCATTAATCGATTGCAAAATTTTCAACTTTAATGTCAACCAATCTTCACGCACATTGTTCCCTGTTAGAAAAGAAGTCCGGCTGACCTATATGGGTGAAACCGTTGTTGGATTTCAAGGAAAGTGGTTTGTAACTAATTTTAAAATTAACATGCATCCAAAACAGTACTAGAAATAGATTTTATCATCGGAATTACGCAAAGTACGAGAATATATGAAATATCACATTAAGTACAAAGCTTCATGGTAATAAGTCCTAGAACACGGTATAAGGCTGAGTTGAACGAAATGCCTACAATGTTTTTAAGGAACTACGGCATGGTTTTGAATTAAGTTTAAAGTATATGATACTCCCCATAACATTGGAACTACTTGCTCGATAGCCAGAATGAGCAGGGGGTTTCAAGAATTACATGGGACAAGCGAAAGTATGTTTATTTTCAATATTTCTTCTTTTTATTTTTTTTTTATTTTTATTAGTACATAATTATTTAGCGAAAAAAAGTACCGTAAAAAGGCTTAAAAGATGTATAAGCTCGCTTTAGAGAGGACAATGTGAATAAAGAGATGAAATCAAATACCTGCGGTCGAAAGTTTTACATTTATTCGCGCAAAGAACTGACTTATTTTTCGTATAAAAAGACTGGTTAAAAAACGAACTTTGCATTCGTAATTTTTCCCTCTCTTAAGTTCTAATTGTTATGTTTTTGTTGGAAGTCAACCTTATATGTTTTTATTTTTATACTTCACTAGACATCACTTCCCTTGCCGGGTTTATGAAGTTTACGATGAGGTATATAATATCCAGTAGAAATTACGAAGCAACTATTATTTTACCGATTGAGATTTTTAAAGTATTTTCACAAAGACGTGTTTTAAAAAATGCATTGCATGAAGAAAATTCCCACTTTTTAAAAAGTCTTGACAATAGTCGTCCTACGATATAACTTCGTCATACTAGATTAATGCGAAAATATTTCATGGAATTGAATAATTATTTGAACCTTCTGCTTCTGTATAATCTTTTATGCGAGGAGTAAGTTTTTACATGGCAAAAAATTCTAATATTCAATATTTTATGGTAAAAATTGGTCCACAACATGTTATCTGACATGAAAATTTGCTGTATCAAATTTGGATCACATTGACTCAAAATTTTGGATCTCAGAGATCACCATAAGATTAAAAAATTTTATATGACACAAAGGTTTAATTTTTGATATTTTATAACAGAAATAGTTAAAGAATGAGAAGATTCTTTGTAAGAAAATGATTTTACTGAATTGAGACGGCGTGAATTATCGACGTTTCATATCACTTTTCATGAAAGGATGCTAATAAAAAGTATGTATGCCTTTGCATGAAAATAGAGTATAATTCTATGAATTTTATCGCGAGAATAAATGAAAATTTTACTAGACAAAGTGGTGTAGGGTATTTAATAGTCGCTCTTATCCGATTATAATACTTTGGCTTGGTTTTTTTTTTTTTTTTTTAGGACAGACCTGCCTTTACAGTTAGCAGATATGCTACGCAGCGGGCCGGACTCGACGATGTCACGTGCCGGCATTTCCCATGCCTGGTTTAAATAATAGTTTGCGCTTAACGTTGTAATATTTCCTACCTGTCTACTCATAGTTGAAATCAATTTTTACACTTCTCCAGAGACAGTTGTTCAGAGAAGGGAATTAAATTGAATGCGCTTTAAGTAGATATTCGCATACTTAAAAGTTATGACAGCACGTCAAACGGATCGTCAGATCGAAACAGGTTTTTTTAAGGGAATAATGACAAAGCGTCAAGTCTCACCGTGTAACAATTACACTCAATTTACCGTCTTTGTAGACAAACAAAGTCGAGAAGTTTTTTGCAATTCTTCTGATATGTATTTGTTTGTTTCACGATCGAAATGTAATATAAATTAATTTGTAATTTAATTTTCGGAGTATAAGACGCACCCTTTTACATGGGGAAATAGAATCAAATTTTGGGTACGTCTTACGGTGCGGAGGTAACATTAGAATATAACTTTCTAAAAGTCATATTATAAATTTGAAGTGCCTTTCATCGTCCGGTGCGTCTTATAGTCCGAAACGTGCAGTGATGATAGACTCGATTTGCCATTCATTGCTTACATGAAATATTTCCAATTTATCAAAATATGAGTTTACAATTTGGCCTCCTCTGTTTGTCTGAAAATATAGTATGTATTTCCAATTTTAAGCAATTAAATTGATTTCATTTATAAAATATTAATGAAAGTCGTATTAAATTCGAAGGATATTTTTAAACTGTTATATATATTTTAACATAGATGACACTGTCGTTTCTTTAAAACGGAACTAAAGCTAAAATACGCATCGGTAATAAGAATTCTTGCGAAGAAACTGTATCGGTTCTAGCAAAGCAGTTTAGGGCTTATTAAATGTTAATAGTTTTGAATGCAAACTTGTTTTTGTTATGACTCTCTACTCATGGGTTGTCTCTCTTGCAGTACAAGAGTACATTAAGTTTGTTTGGATTTATAGAATATCCAGGCAGACTGGAGATGGACTCAACTTTTTTTATCGGTTCAGAATCGCTTTCGAATCGAAATAACTTTGTCTCTCTGTCCGTTGTTTTGAAATATTTTGATGGCATGTCTTATCTTGAGGGCGAACCGTCATTGTAAACGATTTGGATCGGATAACTTTTTCAATCACCCCCCCTGTAATTCCTTTTAAAAATATGTATACATATTTTGTAATTTCGAAAATTTCGGGACAAAAACTTTTAAGTAAATATTCTAAATTGGTCTGAAAAAATTTGGATCGAATAGGGCAATTTTTTCAACTCTCTGGCGTTCGCAGGAAAAGTAAACCGTTGTGTGGTAAAAAATTCGAATTATTATTTCTTGACGAAAATTCGTTCGAAAATTTGACTTTACCAAGTCTGGACCTCATAGATCTATTTTTTAAAACCAATCTAGTATATGGGTTTTAATAGCAGATAAGGCTTTATATGGCAAAAACGTCCAGTTTTTGATAATTCATGATCAAAGCTGACTCTTACGAGTTATTTGATATAAAACTTAACTATCTAGATCATGTAAGTCTATTTTTTCGGCAGCATCGCATATAAGGATTCTTATAAAATATTAAACCCTTATATGCCAACCTGTCTAATTTCTTATTTTTGACATTTTATAATGAAAATTGATTCATATAAGTAATGTACCGTCAACATTAACCGTAGGGGCTTTCTTTTTTTATTATTGCACCACATTAGTTAACGTTTTGAGCACTCTCAAATATAAGGGCTTCCATGAAAAGTATTGCTTTACATGAAAATAATGTATAATCTTTGTTGTCTTATCAGACAAATTAATGAACGAGAGAGAGAAGCAGGAGAGAAGGCGTAGGGTATAATATTCCTATTTGTCTACATATATGGAAAATTTATAGGACAAGGGAGGGATCGACAGATAGAAGACGTAGAAAGCGGTAGTAATGTTGATGTACGGTCACTTTGAAAGTAAAACCACAGTGAATGCCGGGAAACTTGAAATTTTATACAAATAAAACCTTTAATGAGCCATTTCTGACTAATGTGTATGTAATCACCTATTTAGAAATGTTAGGTGAAGAATTCAAAACAATAATGAGATTTTATAAGAAATAGTAAACCATAGTTATCGACAAAGTAGATGGGAGTGTAGACTTTTTGTTAAGAAAAGAGTGACATAACATAAGGGCTAGAATAAAATTAGAAAACTAAAATACCGTAAATGAATTAATAACGACAGTTAAGGAAGCTAGACATGTTAATTCAAAGGACTACGTGACTATTAAGAAAAAGATAAGAAAGCACATAATAAAAGATCGAAGCTAGAAAGTACATAACAATGCTTACACAATTGTCA